AAAACTTTTGATTTCTCAATGCTCTAACAATAACTTCAGAAGATTCCAAGTTTCCATAATTTATTCATAAGTATGACTTTCTTCACTAGCACCTAATCAAAAACTGTACCGTGTCGACTTGCTATTAATCAACAAAAACTCATGAACAAATCAGACTTTTCATCCACATACTCAAATTCATCCACCAATTCTATGGAAATAATCCATATTGTTACCTTTTTGCTTTATAACTATCAAATTTTCTATAAATGCCTAACTATAAGATAGTTCAATCTCAATAAGTCTTCCCGAAGTGAAACTCCTTGTGACATCTTACTACCACTCGTCTTCAAGAATCAAAAGCAATCTAAATAGTTATCTTCTTAGAGTATAAACCCGAAAATTTCCACTCAAATCTGTAAATGAAGAGAATTAGCCAAACTTCTCCACCAAGTCAAACATCACATCCATAAGTTATACTGACAAGTCTCCATGAATAACACTAATTTGGATACCTCTAGGCTTGATTCTTCTTTATATCAATCAAATAGGAATTTTCTCTTCACACCTATCTTGATAGTTAATGTTTTCCAAAAGAAAATTCTATTTTTCACCTTGCTATCATTCTTCTTCAAGAATCAAGAACAACTCCGCAAAGTTATCTCTTATGCATTCCAAGCTCACCATAAAAGAACTCACTCATTTGTAATGAGTCAGAATCAACCAAACTCATTAACCAAATAAAGAATTTCTCTAATAGTCAAAGAACCACCGTTAATCCCATACTTAGCCAAGTACCCAAAGTTCTAACGATTGGACTTCAACAATTGACTAAAACTATCCCCTTGATCTCATATCAATAGGTCAATTTTCAAATGCAAGGGATTACGATACAAACTTTTGATCAATTTTACTAATTTAATACACATTTACTCAATAACATCCAAATGACTTGTTTGATCCATTCCTAAATTTATGTCTAGCACCACATCCTTCATGATAACACTCTAGATATTGAAAATGTTTACCAATCATATCATCCTAAATGATGTTGCACCGCCACAAATCATCATTTAATTGAATAGTTTAGTCTTAATAATGACTTCAATCAAATCTAAGGATAGTCACTAAAGATATTACCTTCAATAGTTGAGTCACTTTCTTAACCATAAGAAAAACTCCAATAAATCCAACAAAATTTTTAAAAGTCAAGTATCACCATTATTTATATCATCTATCACTATCTTCCACCATTTGGATTATCATCACTTTATCAATCATTGTCCTTAATAATTTAGATCATCTCCCTTTACCTCTACATCTATTACTATTCTTCAACATTTGTATTATCACCTCTTCTCTATAATTGTCTTTCACTATTTGGGATTATCACCATTCACTACTTCATCTATTTACTCACCTCTGTCCTTTAGATAATCACCATTGACCATATCATATGCAACTATTCTCAACCTTTTGGATTACCCACTTTTACAACTCTACAAGTCATTATTCCATTCTACTGGCGATGACAATAAACTCTGAAGTTTTGGTGTTCTGCAGAAACTGTGATCTAGTTAGTCCTTCACGGTGAAGTACTTGCCCCAAGATACTAAATGAGACTAATAAATACTTTTACGTGAAAATATCCAACTCTTCCAAACACAATAGATCACATAATAGATACCCAACCACAAAATCAATTTTTCTCCAAATATAAGTATAACCATTAAAATGAACTAGTAACTCCCATTTTGTTTACTTCAAAAAATCTACCCACATAAGGTTACCCCATTCCTTATTTCGTCCAACAACATACTCTATTAAAACCATAGAGAATATTATATGATGTTATCTTGACTTCAAAATCACCATATGTATCGTCTAAGGTCCACAAAAGTAAGCATGGTCAACCATCACCAATTGTTCCTTTAAATAATCTACCAATCTCAACTTTAGTGAATCATTATACTAGAAGGTGGCTCCCTTATAATATAAGCTGGTACTCTAACCTAAAGGTCAAAGCTTGAAACTCAAGAATCATTCCAAAATCTTTTTCTCTAAAACATCATCATAAAGAACTAGTGCACTTCGTTGCATCGGTACTTAGGAAAAATGGCTCTATTGGATGCCAGGAGCAATGCTCGTCCTTAACACTCCAATAAACATATTATCTCGTAACATCTTCACTCCACACCATCAATTATACTTTTTCCAACTTATATGACCAAAAGGACTTAGGGAACCTTAACCTCCTCTATAAAAATGACACGGCTATAAATACCTAGATATGTGTCGAACCTAGGCTCTGATACCACTATTGTCACACCCCAACTCCAAGGGCATGACCGGCCGTGAATCATGGATCCATAAGCTATGGAACACGTAAGCCTAATAATAAACTAATAATATAGGAGCAGAAAACAACATTAACACTAAATTGATCTCATGTCGATATGTTAAAGTCAATATACCTAAACCTGTTTGCCCCAATTATCCAAACAAGTAAAGAGGGAGATACGATATATGCTACGGAGGTCACAACACTATTAGTCCCCAATCAATTCCCTGAGTCCGCTATTGACACTCCAATCGTTTACCTAAAAAAATATTATTTTGAAAACATGAGCTAAAAAGCTCAGTGAATGGAAAGACATGCATATTCAAAGTGGTTGAAAAACATATTTGACATACGACATGTAAATCAAATATTTGAAAGAATAACTTCATCAAGGTAACCAATTTCTCAAGAATAACGCAATCGGGTTTCAACAAGAAATCATACCACAACAGTAAATCATATCATAATGATGGAGACTGTACGATATCTAATAATCAATGGGAACCAAATACCAAAGACAATAATTGATAACAAGAAAATACGTATGGCATACGATAGGTAATCATAAACAAAGCTAGTAAAAACGTTGTAACAATAACAAATCATATCATCATCTCATACTGGTAAAGACTTGTATGATATCTGGGAACCATACTAAATGTCANCGTTGTAACAATAATAAATCATATCATCATCTCATACTGGTAAAGACTTGTATGATATCTGGGAACCATACTAAATGTCAGAAGATCTCAAGGTTGGATCCAACACCGTACTTAGGGTCAGCACGGTTTGCCGCCCGGAAACTGTTCCCTAAGACGATCCGGTGAAGGTCACCAGGACGCACCAGGAACTGTTCCTTCAACCGTTGAGCACTAGGGTCACCTCAGCTTCTCTCAGGTCTGTTCCCTAGTGGCCAGGGTCACCCGCACACGGAGGAATAGTTTTCCTGAACTTTTAACCAAATACCAAAATATATCTCAAGGTGGGATCCAACATCGTACTTAGGGTCACCACAACCTCTCCCGGGTCTGTTCCCTAACTCGATCTGGTGAAGGTCACCAAGACGCACCAGACACTGTTCCTTCAACCGTTGAGCACTAGGGTCACTTCAGCCTCCCTCGGGTCTGTTTCCTAGTTGCCAGAGTCACCCGCACACACTTGGACTTTTAATTTTGGTCCCATTCACCGCCACTAAGTCTCACCATATAAACAAGTGCTTGAGTCACATCACTTCACAAAAGAATTCATCACAGGGAGAATCATATGCCACAAGTATTTAGACACTTAGTAAGACATTTTGTAAAGGTAGTAATGAACAAGCATGATGTATTGTTTTCGAAATATTTAGGGATACGAGAAATTTTTGAAAATACGTAGCATGCCAAACCACTCACCTCTTGTCCAAATGATATGTTTCTTGAGTGTTGCTTGTTACCCGAAGTAGAGTGAGATGTTATTGACGTCTTTCCTCTTTTTCTCACAATTTTNCAAACCACTCACCTCTTGTCCAAATGATATGTTTCTTGAGTGTTGCTTGTTACCCGAAGTAGAGTAAGATGTTATTGATGTCTTTCCTCTTTTTCTCACAATTTCCTCTTTTACTCTCTATTCTTTCTTGAAAGTAGAAGACTACTTATGCACTTATATCTTNCGTCTTTCCTCTTTTTCTCACAATTTTCTCTTTTACTCTCTATTCTTTCTTGAAAGTAGAAGACTACTTATGCACTTATATCTTAATCCAATCTCCAAATGCCCTATTTATAGGCATTTTAGGATTATTCTAGAGAATATTGACACCCTAGAATATTCTACCATCTCCCCTTTCTTAGATCCTTCTAGGTTTCAAGGTTATTTTACACATGACAATTTCACAGGTATCTAGATTCATCTATAATATTTTTAAGTCTTCTTCAACCTTCTACGTCCTTCTGGAACTTTCCGGAACATTTTAAATTCCTCTAAAACCTTCTAGTATTTCTTAGAACCTTCTAAAATACTCTAAACTTCTCTAGATTGTTCTAGAACTTTCCGGATTCTTCTAGAAATTTCTTCAACATTCTAGATTCTTCTAAACTATTCTAGGTTATTCTTGAACTTTCTAGAATCTTCTAGACTATTCTAGATTTTTCTAGAAATTTCTCCAATATTCTAGATTATTTTAGACTATTCTCAATTTTTCTTATTCCTTCCAAGATAATATTACCTAACTAGTTCCTTGCCAAAATGGAACGGGGTATTACAGTTCCTTTATTGTTACCATGTAATCATTTTTTGTATGCTCCTAACTTTGTATAATATTATCACCTGAGTGTTGTATCATCATAACACTTCAGCCATTACTCAGCCTCTGTCATGTATTTCTCCATCATTTAGTGTTGAATGCATTCCTTGTTTCTGTAATTAATCACAACAATTAATTTCTTATCACGTAGTTGTCAAGCATAGGGTTTGAGTTTTTATTTAGCGTTAGTTTCCTGTGATAACTACCTGAACTTTTCATACCTATCAGCTAGATCCCTTCTCTTTTCCTTCTGTCTTATATGTTAATTTGATACAGGTTACTTATAATGAGTTTGTTTGCAACTTTTAATAAATTTAAGATTCTGCTCATAATTGTGCATCGCTGCAGCCATTCTGGCAGCCACATAACAGGACAATTGCAAGAAGAATCCAAAACATGGGCTGGAGAGCTGATGGTGGTCTATGGCTTCTTGTTCGTGGTGGTGGACTTTATCTCAGCAAAGGCACAGGGGTAAATAAAATAAGATTATCCTTTTATTGAAGCATCTTTCATGTGTGAGTACATCTTGTTGGATGAATCGTTTTGGATGTGTACTAGTCCTTTTATATCTATTGTCATGCTTACATATATAAGTTGAGAGTGAGAGGTATGGTTAAGTGATTCTTCCTCCTCTCACGTAATTCTGAACTACTCCTTTCATTTGCTTTCTAACTACTAATCCTAAACTTTACATGGTATCGGAGTAGGTTCTTAGGGTTTCATCTAGATTTTCCTTTATATTTTCGCCTATTCTATTCTCTGGTATAACTCACAGACCCTAGCTAACCTTGATTAGACTTGGTCTTTGTATCAGAATTTACTGTTTAATGTTGGAATGGTATTTTTGGATCACTCCTGGTAATTAATGGAGGCTGGAGAATGAAGTTTTGTGAGTTTTTAGTCATGAGAACAATGTCGTTGTGAGCAACTAAGTTTGCTGCTGTTATGGTCATCACTGTGATTGAGCAGAGAAGACAACCTTCATTGCTGTTGGGTTGAGATTTTTGTTGTGTTTGTTGCTTGGTGAGTAGAGGTTGGTTGCTGTTGTTCAGCTCTTGCCGATGTAGGCAAACCTTAGTTGCTGGTTGCTGCTCACTGTTTTTCAGTTGATTGCTGGTCCTGTTTGTTGCTTGGCTGCTGGTTGGTATTCGCTGTTATTATGGCGCTGCCAGTTACAGAGAAGACAAACCTTGGTTGTGATTTCTGACCACTGCTACCAAGTTCTTGTCGTTGATAGCGAAGGACTTCTATTTTCAAGGGTTGGAGTTCTGTTGGGTAGACCCCCGTTGTTGATTCGGGTCATATTTCATCAATTTAAGTATTTGGGTAGTCCAAGACCCAGGTTTACGTTTTTGGTTCAAACTTATCTTCCCGTTCAGGTTCAGATTTATTTAGCTCGGTTCAGTTTTATTTGGTTTGGTTCGGCTCCTGTTCTGTTTGGTTCATTTTTATTTGATTCGGTTCAGCTACCTTTCTGCCCTGTTCAGCTTTATTTGGTCTGGTTCAGTTACATTACTGTCCTGGTTCAACTTTATTTGGCCCGGTTCAGTTACATTTCTTCCCGGTTCAGTTTGGTTTGGCCCAGTTCATCGTGGTATGGTCCAGTTCAACTATTATTCTGCCCTGTTCAGCTTGGTTTAGTTCGGTTTAGCTACTTCTGCAAGGTTCAGGGTCATTGGGTCATGCTTCAGGTCTTTTTCTGCCCGGTTTAGCGTCTTTCAAGCTACTCTTTTTGGCTGGTTCAGCTTGGTTCAACAATTATCAAATTGATTTTTTTTTTTTCGATTCAACGTTTTGGAATGGCTGCTAAAGCAGATAATTCTTCTACTGCTTCTTTCTTTAATGCTCCTTAGTTATATGTACCATCATCTGCACCTGCCAACTCAGAGTGGATCATTATCTTGCGGGAAGAATATGGTCGACTCATGTCTGTGCAATAGACAGTTACTGCGTCCTCTATTGCTTCTTTTGCGCAGTTAGGTGTGACTTCTACATACTTACTGTCTTCCAAACACAATTCATGGATCATAGATTCAAGTACATCTGATCAGACAACTAGTTCATCTAGTATTCTTTCTTTTTATCAATGTGTGCCTCTATCTCAAAGTGTCACTCTAGCTAATGGTTCCTCATCTAAAATATTAGGATTGGGACACACTTAGCTAAGTCCTACAATGCCTTTATTGTTTGTCTAGGAAGCATAGATACGGACACTGGTGTCATATCCAATTTGATACGGATACAGGGATACGGGAAACTCTCAAAATATATGACACGGATACGACAAATTTAAATAATATAATATATTTTTATATGTTTAATAATAATAATAATAATAAATTGAATAATTAATTAATATTTTATAATTGGACAAATGAGCTAATATTAAATTTGATTAGTGGACTACTATGTTATCGATAGTGGGCTAAACTAAATTGGGTAGTGGGTGACAACTATAGTAATTAGTATNACTATTATGTTATCGATAGTGGGCTAAACTAAATTGGGTAGTGGGTGACAACTATAGTAATTAGTATCGTACGATATGTGATACGTATTATATGACACGTCATGATACACTTAGAAAACGATACGAATCATGTCTCTGTATCATTTTTGCATCGTGTTGTATGATACACGATATAATACATACGATACGATACGTATCGTTCAACACACAATTCGCAAAGTCTTTGTTTATTATTATTATTATTCTTATTATTTGGCTGAAACGTCTTTTCACCCAAGACTTATTTTTAATTCCCTATAGCCGTTGAAATGACGTCATTTTAGTGGCTAGGGTTTACAAAAAACAAAAAAAAAAAGGTTGTTTTCTCCCTTTTCTTCATTGACGAAGCCATCGACTATCCACCGAAAGTGTAGAAAGATCATCAACTTCCTCGATGAAGACCATCGACTACCTTCTGCAAAGGGTTTTTCTTCTTCCTATGGATCTGCGACGACCTTCTTCTTCCTCTAGATCTACGAAGTTATTCGATTGTAGTTGTAGAGTTTTTCATTCCTTTAGTTCTTTTGCCTGTTAGAAGTTTGGATTAAAGGTCTCTTGGGTTTTAGAAGTTTGAATTAGTGAACTATGTTGGGAACTTTGTATTTTGATATTAGTAAACTATGTTGGAAACTTGAATAGTTATGGAATATTAATGAAATGCTATGTTTTTATAAGTTTATGACTTTTTTTGCAAAGGTATATGTATTTGATTAATAATTATTTAAAATTGCACAGTATCTTATGATATAAGATACATGGTACGATATGATTCACTGTTTTTGAAAAATGATACGCTTTCCGATACTCGATTTGACAACTATGGTGACAAGTAATAAGGTGTTTGTAATTTAGCAACTAGGGCAAAGAAAAAAAAGAAAAAAAGAAAAGAAAATTGAAAAGCTAGGGTTGAAAAGGAAAAAAAAAAAAAAGAGAACAAATGTTGCTTTTCAGCAACTAGGGCAAACTGTAGCCGTAGGAGCAAAGCTTGCTGATCGTCACTGGTCGACGCCGAGAGATCTGATATGAGAGAGAGAGGGGTTGAAGAGAGATATGAAGACTTACCTGGTTGAAGATGAGGAGATTTGTGGCTGTGGCATCTNAAGAGATCTGATATGAGAGAGAGGGGGGTTGGAGAGAGATATGAAGACTTACCTGGTTGAAGATGAGGAGATTTGTGGCTGTGGCATCTCAGGTCTATATCGCCTTTTTCCCCTTTATTTTTGGTTTAAACAAAGATCCATGGTTGTGGTTATATCCCGGTCGTATCCCCCCTATATCTAAGTTGTATCTGTCCATAAAAAATGTTTCTTTGTTGTTCAGGACATTTGCGAAAGTGTCGAAAACGTGTCTAGCAATTTTCCATGCGTATCCATGTCGGACAAGTGTCTGACACTGCCACGTCGACACCTCGTGGAGTATCCGTGCTCCCTAGTCGTTTGTGTTATTTGTTCCCAAATTATCTTTTAGTTTGATGTCTATTGTTGAACAAACATCTACTCTAAAACCTTAAACTGTTGGAGATGGTGTAATTTTAGTATTTATACTTTAACACGCTCCCTTACGTGTAAGTAAGGATAAAAATTTTGTTTCGAAACGGTTCCGTTTTCAAGGAGACCGAAATAAATTAGTGATGGAATCAAAATTCTAATATTTCGAGGTATTCTATAATGTTTCAATAAATTTTTTTATATTTCAATGCATTTATACAATTGTTTCGAAATGTTTTAAGGCATTTCAAGATGTTTTAATATATTTTGATCAATATTTTGAAAAAATAATTCTTAATTTTTTAATTTTTTTAATTTTGTTTTCGAAATGGGTCAAAATATTTTTTAAATACTTCGAAACGTTTTAGTTTTCTAGGTGATCGAAACAATGCACCAAAATAAAATTTTGATCCTTGCATGCAAGCTAGATTTTGATCCTAGCACGTGAATTTTGTTTAATAAATTAAGGTGACAACGAGTTTTGAACATGGGACTTCTTGCTTTGATATCGTATTGAACAACCATTTACTCCAAAACCTTAAGCCCGTTAGAAAGGGTGTAAATTAAGTATTTATCCTTAAACATCTATTAGCAAGATTACTCGGTCTCTTAGTTATTCTGTTATTTTTTATCCTTCTTGTTGTGTGTTTTAGGTTCTAAAGACGAAAAGAAAGATTGGTACGGGGCATAAAGTAGTAGGTGGCCAGCATTACTTCAATTTTGAGCCATCCCACACAGTCATTTAGTCATCATTATCTCCATTTGAGTGGCATTGTCGCCTTAGTCACCCAACTTTGAAATGTTGAGTTCCAGATCTAAATTTTGTGTCCTCCGTGTGTTATGAAGCTTGTCAGTTTAGTAAGCATCAACACGTGTCTTTTAAGCCTCGAGTTATTAATCGCATCTCTAGCCTTTTGAGTTGATTCATTCAGATGTGTGGGGTCCTTTAAAGAATATTATATCTAGTAAATTCTTATATTTTATGACATTTGTGGATGATTATTTTCGTATGATATGATTTTTTCTGATGAAAACTAACTCTAGACTTTTCTCCATATTTAAAATGTTTTGTAAAGAAACCAAAACTCGGTTTGATTGTTGAATTCGTATTTTGCGGTTTGATAATGCTAAAGAATAGGTTTTTGACCCCCTTGCCACCTATCTTCATGGAAAGGGCATAGTTCATCAAACTTCTTGTGTTCACAACTTACAACAAAATGGGGTGGCATATTGTAAAAATCGTCATTTGTTGGAAGTAACTCTAACACTTTTATTTCATATGTATGTTCTCAACATTTTTAGAGTGATGTTCTTACTGCTTGTTATCTTATCAATCGTATACCTTCTTCTGTGTTGCATGGGGAGTCTCCCTATTTAGTTCTTCTTCCACAGTCTCCCTTATTTCATGTTCTTCCTAAGATCTTTGGTTTCATTTGTTATGTTCATAATTTGGGTCTTGGCTTTGATAAACTTAATCCCCGTGCTACAAAGTATCTTTCTTTGTTATTCCCACTCCCAAAGAGGTTATTGTTGTTACAGTCCTACGCTTCGACGCTATTTCACTAGTTTCGATGTCACCTTTTGCGAGTCTATATAGTATTTCCCAGCTGCCACCTTTCCTCCTGATCTCGATTTTGGGACGACTCCTTCATTGCTTTTGTTACCTCCTCTCCATTATCTTGTGTCATTTCACAGCCTATAGCCTCTTCTTTGACTTCTCTGCGACCACGTTCTACTGTCCTATTACGTGTGTGCACACGTCATTTGCGGTCATCTACTGAAGTGCCCTTTTCGTCTTCCTCACTATCTTCCAATTTGAGCCCCCCTATTGTTTCAGACCATGGTTACCATAATTCACTCAACCCCTAATGACCCACGATCTGAGTACATTAATCTCAAACGGAGTGAGTTCGTGATCCAGATCACCAAAATAGACGACCCCAAATTGTAATACTAACCCTAAATCAATTCGTTTTAGAACATGCAGCACAAATATAAAATATATATTAATTGACTATATTTATATAGATTTATAATTATATATTATTTTAGATAATAGAAAATCACACACAACTATAAGATAAATGATAACTAACTTAGTGTTTATAGATGTTCTGTAATATATAATGTTGTATAGTAGTGAAAATGATCTATATAAAAATTCTAAAACGAATTGCGACCCAAAATATCGTACCAACTAAGCCTACCCCATTGTACCACGTACCTATGAACGTATCGTACCATGTACCCGTACACGTATCACCTTCCAAAACGAGCCACGATTCAGGTAACATTGTTTCAGACTCATTGTCTATTACTCTTCATAAAGGTACCTGATCTTGTGTTACCGACCACCCTATTAGTCATTTTGTTTCTTATGAAGCCCTATCCCTTACTTTTTTGTCTTTTATCTCTCAGTTATCTCGCATGGCCATTCTTAAGACCTTACAAAAAGCATTATGTGATCCATGTTGGAGAAAAGCTATGGAGGTTGAGATGGATGCTTTACATTAGAACATAACTTAGGATCTCGTTTTGTTATCTTGTGGTAAAAGATTGTTGGTTGTCAATGGGTTTATAATGTGAAATTCAATCCTGCTAGTTCTATTGAATGTTTAAAAACCCTACTTGTTGCTAAGAGATTTACTCAAACATGTGACATTGATTATGGTGATACATTTTCTCTTGATGCTAAGATTTTCTCTATTTGTGTATT